CTGAGATGGTTTCTCTTCATCCGAGAGTTTGCAACGAAAGCGGAATTGCCAAAAAGTAATGCTGTGCATTTGGTGGTAGGATTAAAAGGGTGTTGTGCACTGTGAGCTGCTGAGCCCGAACGAAAGTGTTACTGCTGACCGCTACGAACACGAACTTGACAGTTTGTAGGATGCTCTTACCTAAAAGCAGCCGTTAATCGCAGGGAAATATCATAAGGTCACATGCCAGATCCCATGTTGCGAAGAATGTCCTTTGAAAAAATTGCAGTTGTTGGATGGGATCAGCTTGTTCAGCCCGCATGATCTCCAGATCTTGCTCTGATTACCACCTAGTCCGATCCATGCAAGCCAGTGTGGCAGATATACGCTTCCGGAATGCCGAAGAAGTGCGGAAATAGGTGGTTGACTGGATTGCCTCAAAAAATGAAGACTTTTTTAGACGCGGAGCCAAAAAGGTGCCAGAAAGATGGCAAGAAGTTGTAGCTAACGATGGACAACACATTGGTTAATGTACATGTGGTTTTAATTTTGTAATAAATATGTTTTTGCACGCAAAAAACGGCGGAAATTAATGCACACACCTAATAGTTTTGAACCCAGGCTTGAAAGATATGTTCCGCTGTTTTTTCAAAATTTCTGAAGTTTCTGCTTAATTCTTCTCACTCTTTAATTCCTGTTTGAGAGCTGTGGAATCAGCTTTTCATTTTTTGATGAGAGAAATTCTAAAATGTAAATGAATGACTGGGCTCGATATATTTGGGCGCTAATTATCGTTTTGATCATGTTGTAGAATCGGAGGACATATTGTGAATTTCTCTTAATAGAGTTGTACATGTCGTATTTGTATTTCATTTGTCGTTTTTGTGTTTGTTTTGACCGTTCTATTTTGTAGGGTGAAATGACAGCAGCGGTAATGATACCTAGAGTAAACATGTCTTCGCCTTCATGTCCAGAATCTATTGAATTCACAGAGGCCATAAAGGTAGCACTACATTTAGATAGTCATTTTTTCATTTGTGGAAAACAATGAAGTTTAAAGGTCTGCTCGTAAAAAATAGAAATGTAATCAAATATAAGCTCATCCGGGAATCTGGATCTGAAAGGGTTTCTCCTGGTGCTCCCTTTGTAGCTTACAACGGTCATTCGATTTCCCCTTAAACGCTTTTAATCTCTCACAGAAATCTAGTGTCAGCAAGTAGCGTGTGAAAACTTGTTTGGCTTGTGCAAGATGCGATTCGTCGAAAATGCCCGGTGGTTGCGGCATCCTACATTTGTAAGGTAGTGGGAAATCGGGCAAAGACGACAGGGATTTGGGATAGGGGCAAGAGCTCCCAACTTCTGAAATCTCTATTTATTCCGGCGTTGTTTGTTTAAAGCTATTCCAACAAGTGCCATAGACTTCTCAAGTACTAGTTATCTCCTTTACAAAAGGAAATGAAATCCAATTCTCATTTCCAGGACTCTCCTCGGTTTCGCGCTGCTTTGGCCCAGCACATGCAACATTTTAGTCGTCTAGAAAGCAGATTAATTGAAGTGAGTCTTCATCGATTGTGAAAGCAGTTGTGGTTCTTTTTATGTTTATAATTTCAGATACAAAAACATGTTACAAATATGATGGAACATAGCAGGAACTACGTCTCGACATTCTAGTAAGTTACATTTTTCAGCGCTGTTCGGAAAATTGCGAAGTGTACGAATACTGTAGGTCTGACAACTTGAAGACAGTCAGTCTTGGATAAAAAGTTTCGGTCATTTTTTATTGAGACCTACTTCCTTACAACATGAGAGCGCATTGTGTCGTTATGTAGACAGAAAAAGCGCACACGATACTCCTGCGTTGTAGCGTCTATATATCACATCATAAAAAAGATATGAGTTGATTCTACAATGGGGGATGATAAAATGTGAGTTCGGTGTTGTAAAGTTATTAGAATTCGCAGCGAGTCCTACACGTTTATTTTTGTTTTTACTGTAGTTTTGACTCACCGGGCAATTCCCAAGGGTGGATCATGTTTTGATGGGTGCAACAACTAATTATTATATGCTAATCGTTCATGTCAATTTTCTTTATTTACTTATTCTTATTTACTGACATATTCCGTTTTAACACGACTTGAGTAGTGAGACATATAAATCAGAAGAATAGGTACGAGGTGGCTCATTATTAAGGAGGAAATCGTATAAAAGCTTGAGCAATACCTTCTTTTTTTTGCTTTTGGATAGGAGATGGGCAAAGATCGGTTTTAGCCAGCTACTGCCCTAAGACGCTACACCACCTCAATGACTTCAGTGGTTATCGTTTGTTTTTGGCGGACTGTCGCTACTGAGATTCAACCTTATCTTGTTATATCCTCATTGATCCCAAGGCTCTCCTACACACCGATACGTCGGTTAAGAGGGAGATCTGCTTTTAAGGGAGGAGTCTCTGCAGAACTCTTGATTGTATTCACCCCCTTACGTTTGTTACCAGGAAAAGCGCAACAATATAATCATCACTAGCATATTTCCTGTAAAAGAGCTCGTTTTCAGTTGCTCTGCCCACGGAAGATTGCCGTGGAATGTGTTTTTGCGTATTCCTTTTTTTTTCGGGAAACAGAAAAATGAAGATAAAGTTTTCTCTCGTTCTCGCTCCGGAACGCACTCTGCATCTTTAATAGGGAACCATATTGGCATTAGATTGTGATATGTTTTAATCAAGATGATCTTCGAGGAAAAGTAGATTTTCGAGTCAGTGGTCTAATCCTCCCAAGCGGGAGCCTAGTACCGAGTATTGACCCTGTTGCGATGAAAGTCCTATTCGAACCAAGTTTTCGAGGGATCATGGACGATATGAACATAGGAAACACATGTGCAACTCTGGGCCCTTACATGTAATATCAGTATTTCCCATACCATATTCTCATTAGGCAATGTTTCAGGCAAGGGTAGGTTACGCCTGAATTATCCTCTTTGCAATAGACGAGGTGTAAGAATTTTTTGGCGGCATCTCTCCACGTATCCGTATCCGGTCATATTTTTCGCTGGTCGTGTCAGAAGTAACTACCATCAATTGGACAGCCGCAAATAATTGCTTTTTTCCCTTTGGTTTTAGTTAGTAGTTGTGTAGTAGATGCAATTTTGCACTATCTTTGCTAGGTGATGATCTTGCGGCACTGGAGGTGGTGTAGTGACAGGTGAACCGCTATCACGCATGCATGGTCGGATCGGATCCCAGGCGTTCTTCAGACGGTATTGGTCAACACCTAGTCTTTATCCTTTATCCTATTTCGGAGAAGCGTAGTTAGGGTAGTAACTCGTAGCGCCCTACAGCGATTATGGTGTGGTGATTGAGGATAAATATACCTATTGATGAATGATATCATCTCAGCAAACCACTATGAGTACGTAGTGGCCGTTTAAGCATCCAAAACCATTGCGATTCTGAATAATGTATTACGTGAGGGCGCATCACGGGCAAGACTTATCGGATCGGAAAATTTAAGGCTGTAAATTTTATTATCAAGCATTTGAATTGGCATTCTTTGGAAATGCTCTTCGTTAATTATTTCCGCCATGTGTTTTCAGTAAGCTCACTGCCTCTATCAATCAAATGAGCGACGAGACTTTCTCAGGGAATATTCTTGCTCAAAACACGTTACACTCCCTCTCAGATGCATGTGGCCGTACTGTCAGTCTTATGAAGGATTTTCACGAACAGTCAAGCATGGGACTATATAGCTTAGTCAACGCCTTTCTCAAAACGTAAGATAATAACATTTATTGCATTTTATGGGTATCGGGTGAGCTATCGATCTGATGTTTCCATTATTAGTTTTATTACAGAGAACTGGTAAAAGTACAAGAGGCCCGAGTTCATTTCGATTCGATGTCCAATAGTATGGATGAAGCGCTGTCGCGGAATGCAGCTTCAACGCGTGCCCGTCCCTCCGATGCTGCCGATGGCCGAAATGCTTTGACGGCGGTTGGTATTACATTTGCAATTAATGAAAATCAGGTGGTCCCAATTTCGAAGAAAAAGTTTAGATGAATTTAATTTCCGCTGGCTGACTTTTATTGAATGGGTTGCAGCAGATGAGAATTTCGTACTGATCTGGGTGGTCCCGAGTTGGCTGCACCTGTTTGTGAATAAAATGGCGCGACCCTCTCTTGCTCAGAACAGGATCCTTGTCAAATTTACAACCAAGTCTGACTTCGTATATCGCTCCATAACTTGGGCTACTACCAGGGGTCGGACCCTATGTTAAAAAGCCTCAAGTGCAGGGGACCAAATCGTTGGTGGTATGGTTAATAAAAGTAAGGGGTCTTCAAGCAGTGAAAGGGACAGGGAGCAGAAAAAATGTCCAGTTTCATCAGCCTATGAATAAGTATGATATCAGATACGGGAACACCCACGAGCATCAACTCGAATGCCTTTTTTTTTCGAAGAGCTACTCCGATAGTGCATAGATAGGAGCCTCCTAGTTTGATGTTTTTTTGTCGATTCTTTCCTGGTTTATCAGTACCGATTGGCTTCACTTTGTAACTGGGCGCAATGGCACAGTCTCATTTGGGTGGGAGATATTGCTATTAAGTGGTAATAAATGGCTGTTGTACTTCCAGGTCGGAGCTTGTTTCGCTCATACAACGATGGATTACGTAGCACAGATTAATATTGCTCATGCACAGAAGGATCACCTTATAGTTGAAGCGGTACGTGTCCAGAGCCGTTTTCATGAAAATTGACTTTTTAAAAAGAGGTTTGGATGCAGGAATGATTTATCGATCTTTCCTCTATTTACGAAGATGAATTCGCATCCTGGCTTGCAGTGTGCCTTCAGGGGAATTATATTGATGGGCTTAGGTTGTCTCCTGAAATCCATCTGGCTTCTGATCAGAAAATAGTTTTCGAGGGGTACGGTAGCGGGTGGATGATAGGGTGTACTTGCTCTACAAAAGCTGCACAGATGGACTGTTTACTTGACCTTTTATAAAAAGTCAAGAGGCTATGTAAACTATCAGGACCCACGTTTTTGGAAAATGATTTCTGCAGAATTGAGCTAAATTGAAATTCAGGGCGTACCCATAAAGACCTATATGGTCCTACTGGTTCTGTCTAATTCAACTTACTGCTTGTAGTGAACTAGTAATGGAGCTTTTCAATATTTTTAATTTGTTGGCTTCTTTGTTCTGTTCATGTTCATTGTTTATTTATTTCGAAACAACGCTCTTTCAGTTATGGTCGTTTGTTCGGGAGACGTCTTCTTATTTCTCACGTGGACACGCCGTGTTTGACGAATGGACTGCCCAAGACAACGGTGCTGTGGCCGATTCCATTACTGCTCTTGCTGCCAAGAGCAGGTTGGTCCAGCGGAAGATGCAAGATATACACTCCCTTGTGCCGAAGGTAATGAGTGATTGATTGCCTGTATTTTATCCTTTTTTCCAAAATTAATGGACCTGATTCCACCAAGTACAAAAGAAAAAAGATGAAAAATGAGTAGGATCCTGAGCTCACGAAAGAGTGACGGAACGTAGGTTCCAGTAGAATGCCGAAGCAACCCCGCGGACAGGGCAGAACGTAGAGGTGCTCAGCAAGAGTTTTATTTGTAAATATCAGGCCGTATTCATTTTCGGGAAACTCTCAAAAACAGCGGCTATGGACAGGGAGCTATTCTTTTGGAATATAAAATGGAAATCTTAATGAACTCTCTTAACGATTAACGTCTTACACTGGAAACTACACTCATTAAATTTTTGAGCTCCTTATGCATGGCACACAAGAGAAGGCGGATTTTTCTTAAATCATTTTGACCTTTATTCGTTCATGTGAAGTAAGAAACTTTGGAACTCGCTTGCCTTCGGAAGAGGGTTTTCTCAGCCAGTCGCATGAAGTCCTTCTAGAGATATTTAGGGTCGAGTTGACGATATATGTCTTACAGCTCCAAATCGGGTCAAGTACCATCGGTTATAGCAGCTTACCCACCCATTTCTGTCGATCTTAGTATCCCTCGCCTTTAAAAAAAAAAAGAAATCATGCGTCCTGTATGCTGCTAGAAAAATGCTGTTGTCATTATCGAAGATAAGACCAAAACAAAAACAAGAGCTCCCTCCTCGTGGTAATAAAGCGCGTCCATCTCGTTTTTTATGGCTTTATGACAATCATTAGAATGGGTTTTGCATGAAGATGAAAGTTTAATACTCCAAATGTTATATCAGTCGCGTTCCAGCTTTACTGCTTTCCCAACCTTCCACTCCGAATCAATCACTGAGCAATGACCATTATAGAGTGGAAAATCAGGGCGCCATTGTGTCATATTATTTGAATAGTGTTNGTGGTAATAAAGCGCGTCCATCTCGTTTTTTATGGCTTTATGACAATCATTAGAATGGGGTTTGCATGAAGATGAAAGTTTAATACTCCAAACGTTATATCAGTCGCGTTCCAGCTTTACTGCTTACCCAACCTTTCACTCCGAATCAATCACTGAGCAATGACCATTATAGAGTGGAAAATCAGGGCGCCATTGTGTCATATTATTTGAATAGTGTTTTCTGGGAGGAAAAGTGGGCTGAGTCATCATCAGGGGGCTTAGTTCATCGAATGCTTTGCGGCGGTCGGGTTACGACCGATTCGCAATGTATTGATTGTTCACACTACTCATGATAATCCTCGCCATTGGTTCTTCCTGACATTGACGGCTCATTCTCTGTCCACAGAAAACCTTCATCCACTGTAATTCGGCCATGGAAAGGAAACGGACGACAGAAAAGCTGGACAAGATTAGTCTGACTGCTCGTTCCACTTTTTATTGTTTCGATGAACTTCCGGATATACCTGCAATCAAGGTGTACGAGCGTATCAATGCACCTACCGCTTCGAAGTCTCCAGTTCCTTTCGGCAAAAAACACTCCATTGTGTCCGTTGGCTCGAAAAAGAGCACGGTTTCAATGGTCGGCGGATTCAACTATTTATCAGGCGGCAGCCCTAGCCCTCGCCCTCGTTCGAAATCGATCTCAACTGACCGCTATCAACTAGAGCGGTCGAAGTCGTCAAAGGATATGACAGCCGATGGTAAAGTGAAAGGGAAATCTAAACTAAGACGCCGCCCTGGTATGAAGATCAAGTCCCGGAAAAAAGAATCTGCCCAGTTTTACATCGCTGCTGATACAACTGTACCTATCCATCTGCCGGAAAGTGTAAGTACTGGTTAATGAGTTTGAGTGTGGTTTTGAGTTGAAAATTTTGCATGAATTTAAATTGGCGAATGAAATTTGTTCAAATTACAATCGAGGTTTTTGTAGTTTTTTTTTTTTAAATTCCATTAAATCGAAACTGTACTGTTACCGAGGGTTATTGATATTGGCCGAGAAAGAAGTATTCTTGGCGAAGGGTCATAATTTATTTTGAGCTCTGAACATTACTAACCTCTCCTTTCGAAGTTTATGCATTACCAGTTCCATTACTTGGGTGGTTTTTCTAGTTTTCCAGTTTAACGAATGAAATATTTGCGGCCTATTCAGGAGATGTTTCAACACTTTTCTGGAATGCCTCCTGACCCTGATGTGATGATGGAAGGCTATTTGTATAAACGTTCATCAAATGCCTTCAAAACCTGGAATCGGCGATGGTTTCAGATAAAGGATAACAAGCTGGTGAGCAGAAACTCACCATTTTCATGTTTTCTATTGAATTTATTCTTTGCTAAGCTAAGTCCACTCGGCGTACAAAAACTGCGCTCGGCTTACACGACGTACTTTTTGTCTTCATCTAAGACTTTTGGCTTTTCTCTTCTCAAGATTTTCTTCCTACATAAAAAACTCTGAGCTCATTTTGCAAATGCTTCAGCTGTACTCTCATCGCACCGCAGAGTCAGAAGAACCTACTGTAATGGAAGAAAATTTGATGTTGTGTCTTGTTCGTCCTGCTCCGCCGTCAATCGACCGTGTCGGCTGTTTCGAACTGGTGACACCCACACGGTATGTTTCACGCATTTATCATCAAGAGAAATCGCTTTTTTACACTCTGACTATTATTTTCATTCGAATCGAATTTTGAATCAAATTTTTCAAATGAAATTCAAAATAACAATATGTTGCGGCTAAGACCCGATAATATTAAAGGCACAGTTCACGATAAAAGCCTTTGAAGAAGCCTTTTTTCGCAGGGGAAAATAGCCTTTCTGTACATATGAGAAAGGTTCTAGCATCATTCTAGTAATGCTCCTTTATGCAAGCTTCTTGCTTCCTTCTATCGCTCGCAATCACCCCCTTTCCTCTAGTGAGGCGTGTATCATGTTTTCAGCTCTAGCTTTACCCTCAATTTTTCTCAAGTTG